GGGACTTAAGGCTCTTGCTGGCCAGCCACTTAGACTTTTAGGAGTTGCGCTGGGGTTCTCTGGCGCACACCAAGAACTCTGTCAATGTACCGATGCGGAATAGGCCTCCGGAGAACTGGGCTGCTCAGGTCACTCATGAGGGCCACGTGGAATGGAGAAGAGACAGTGAGGAGGAAGAGGAAGGAACGGAAGAGGCCAGCAGGAGGAGACAGGCAAGGGAGAGAGCCCTGGCCAAGAGCTGCCCGACTGGTTCCATGCCAATCTCAGAAGCCAGCACCTGGGTGCACTCAGGGATCTCATCACTTCCTTCCTCATCCGGGAGCTCCTTCCTGGGTCTCTCCATGGCCTGCCAGGCCTTGGCTGGGTGGGAGCCTGGGCGGCTTCCGGCAGACCAGGCCTGCAGGAGGTGAGTGATGGAGGCAGGAAGTGGTGGCTTGCAAGCAGGTCACTTGCCAGCGGCAAAATGGACACTGCTCCTTTCATCTGGTTGTGCCAGCTGCCACAGGAAATGCACAAATTGGCCAGGGGAAAGGACGTCCAGTGTCCCTACCAAAGGGCCAGGAGCAGCCCTTCGGTTGACCAGATCTGTGGACCAAGGCACGGAGGCGTCTTATGGTGGAAGGGTCCTAGAAAGGCAGGACAATCTTTCCCCTGGGCAAGTGACAACCACTTAAGAGCCTTGCCCAGACCTCAAAGAGTGTGGTGATAAGGAAGCGTGCTGGTGGCCCGCACGGTGGCGCGCCCCTGGTTGCAGCATGGTTGTTGGTGCTGCCGCTGCCACTGGTGTGCACGGCCCCTGGTGAGCATGTGTGTGTGCCCCTGCATGGTGTGCCACGCCCCTGGTGGCATGTGGTTGTGTGGCCCCTGCATGGTGGCACGCCCCTGTGGCGACCGGTGGGCACGCCCCTTGTGGAGGCATGGTGTGGTGGTGCCCTGCATGTGGCGCCGCCCCGGTGCAGCATGTGGTGTGTTGCCCCTGCCATGGTGTGGCGCGGCCCCTGGTGAGCACGGTGTGCACCCCCGGGCGCCCCTGTGAGGCATGGTTGTTGTGTACCCCTGCCATGTGTGGCACGCCCCTGTGGAGCACGTGTGCACGCCCCTGTAGCCATGTGTGTGTGCCCCTGCATGTGTGCGCGACGCCCCTGAGCACGTGTGCCACGCCCCTGGTGAGCATGTGTGTGCTGGCCCCCTGGTGCCCCTGCATGTGTGCACGCCCCTGTGAGCACGTGTGCACGCCCCTGTGAGCATGTGTGCGTGCCCCTGCATGTGTGCACGCCCCTGTGAGCACGTGTGCATGCCCCTGTGAGCATGTGTGCACACTCCTGTATGTGTGCACACCCCTGTAAGCACGTGTACATGCCCCTGTGAGCACGTGTGCACGCCCCTGTGAGCATGCGTGCACGCCCCTGTATGTGTGCACACCTCTGTTCATGTGTATGACTGTGTAGACCAGATGTCTGTGTATGTCAGCTGGCCTGTGTGTCTGGGTCTGCGCACGGGTGTATTCATGCATTTCCATGAGTGGCTGCCTGTCCACGTGTGTCCTTGTATATGTGTCTCCACCTTTGTCTTGGTGTGTGTCTTGTACATGTGCATGTCTACAGGGGGTGACATGTGTAATTATAACTAATAATGTATGTGTGTAAGCTTCGATACAAATATGGAAGTAAATGCATGTCCATCTGTTTGGGTCTAAGTGTGAAAGAGTGAATCTGTGCAGGCCAGGCACGGTGGCTCACGCCTGTAATCCCAGCACTTTGGGAGGCTGAGGCAGGTGGATCACCTGAGGTCAGGAGTTTGAGACCAGCCTGGCCAACATGGTGAAACCCCATCTCTACTAAAAATACAAAAATTAGCTGGGCGTGGTGGCAGGTGCCTGTAATGCCAGCTATGTGGGAGGCTGAGGCAGGATAATCGCTTGAACCCAGGGGGCAGAGGTGGCAGTGAGCCAAGATTGCGCCACTGCACTCCAGCCTGGGCCACAGAGTGAGACTCCGTCTCAAAAAAAAAAAAAAAAAAGAAGAAAAAGAAAAAGAAAAAAAAGAGTGAATCTGTGCTTTTGTGGCCCAGGGTTTGTGGGTCTGTGTGCCTCCCCTGGCTCATGTGGGATTCAGGGACAGCAGGCTAGGGGACAGCTGGAGCACAGCAAGAGAGCTCTGGAGCACAGAGGGGGAGTTTGACCCCTCCTGGGCACGTGTGCAGAGCTGAGCCCAGTGCATGCACAAAATGCACATGCATACAAGTTTATGTGCTCTGAACCACACTCACCCTGGGGTGGGGCTGGGATTAGCCAAGGCTCACCTGACGCTGCTGTTGCGGTGGTCTGCAGTTGGCAGCTCCAGGGCGAGGCCAGCGGGCATGGGTGGCCCCGTGGGGAGTGGCTGCTGCTGGAAGATGAGCTCAGGAGTTAGGTCTACCTCGGTAGGGCTCACCATGACCTTGGCAGCAGAAAGCAGAGCGGTCTTCCCCTTATTGTAGTTCTCCAGCACCTGAAGACAGGACAGAGGAGGCTGGGGGTGGTGGAGGGACACCATGCCCCATTCTGGGGCCAATGTGGAGCCAGGGCCCAGGCCTCTCAGGCCAAGCAGAGCCTCATGGAGTCACCTGGGTCCCACTCTCCTCCTCCCGAGGGCACCACTCCCCAAGGCCTGAGACTTGCCCATCTGGTCACAACTTGCCCCACAGCCCAGCGAGTGCTCCTGCCCTGCCTGCCTTCAGCCTTTCCGCAGACAGGGAGTGGCTGTGGCTGTCGCTGCTTGCCCATGCATCTGTTAAGTGCCAGGTAGCCTTCAGGGCCTCTGAGCTGAGCCTGCCTAAGGGACAGGCCCCTGGGAATCTCCTTATCTCCTCCCCACCATGGGGCAACGTGGTGATGTGGAGAGAGCCAGGGGTGTGAGGTTGAAGTATTTGAGTGGGGCTTTCTGGCCCAGCTACCTACTTCTCTGAGCCCCAGCACCCATGTCTGTAAAATGGGGCAGTGATCCGACGGTGCTTACGGGGTTCTGATGGGGTGATAGTGCCTTGTTCCCTGGTGACACCCTGCCGGGAACTGCCTCACCTTGTTGAGCCCCTCCATGACCACATAGGGCAGGTGCTCATGCAGCATGGCTGGCGAGATGATCACCTCATTGAAGGCCTTGTTGTCGCCCCAGATGGCGAAGTACGTGGGCTCCTCCTGCTCACAGCAGCTGAGAGGGATGTGGGCAGAGGGGAGTTAAGGATAGGGTGGTGGCCTGGCCCTCAGCTCCTGGCTCTGCTCTCTGCCCTGCTCAGCAGGGCTGGCATGGTTTGGAGGCCCCTGGCCTGCCTGGCAGCAGGGCTCTGTTCCCTGGCCTGGCTCCTGCCCTGCCCTCAGCCTGGGAAAGGCTGACCTTGAGCCTCAGCCATGGTCCCTCCACAGCCTTCGACCAGCTTTTGGCCTGGGTCACACCCGTTCTACCTGCTGCAGGGCCCAGCTCACCAGCTTTGTGTCAGGCGAGGAAGCGGACCCTGGAGGGAGGAGCCAGAGCCCAGCTGTCTGAAGGAGCGCAGTGGGAAAGGTCTGCCCACTTGTCTGCTCCTGTTCTCTTTCCTGGCGTGGCCCCCACCTTGCTCACAGCTGTCTTCGAGGAATCCCCTTGATGAAGCCAAGTGACAACTGAGGTGTGAGCTGGCCAGGGCCTGAGGGGTGAGCCCTCCAGGGCACCTACTTTTAAATGGACCATGAGTGGGGAGAGTTGCCCTGGGGGACACCAGGGAAGGGCTGACACTGGAGGCGAAGCCAAACTATGGAGAGAGACGCCTGGAGTCCTGCTCAGGGCTGGCCTTTTGTTCCATTTCCAGAGCCCGATGCTGGGGAAATCCCGCCATGGAAGCCCTGGGCCATCTTCTCCCAGCCCCCACCCCCAGCCCCGAGGGGTGACTAAGCCAAGGCCGGCCCTGCCCTCCACGGCCGCTACCCCCTGCAGCAGCAGACCCTGGCAGAACCTACCAGCACTGCTCCGCAGGGTGGTTGTGGACCACGTGGATGATGCGGCCAGGCGGGTAGAGTGGAGTGCTGGCTGAGAGGGCGATAGTTAGATCGCTGGGGTGGGTCCAGAGCCGCGTGCTGGCCAGGGTGGTCACCTCTACCTCCTCGGGCAGTTCCGACTTGGGGATGCATTTGGTGGCCCCCACGATGATCCGCCACTGTGTGGGGTGGAGTGGGAGAGATGGGGACAGAGCTAAGTGGCACTGGTTGGGGGGCAGGGGCAGGGGGACTGAGAAGGAGGGCTCAGCAGGTGAGAGGTGGGTGGTGAGATGGCAAAGGGGCAGGGGAAGGGCAGTGGCCGGAGCATTAAAGGTCGGTGCCCACCTGAAGAGGCAGTGGCTGAGGTGCACGGTGGCCAGACGGCCAATAAGGTGCCAAGGACAGATGACATGGAATTGTTGAATTTCAGGGCTGGCAAGGGGCTGGAAGCCCAGCCAACCCCTAATCTAGTAGATGGGGAGACAGGCCCAGTGAGGGGAAGGGACTTATTCTGGGTCACTCCGCAAGTCCAAGACAAAACACACCCTGGAGCTGAGTCCAGCTGGACCTGCCAGGCCTGGCCTGACGAAAGCCCAGGGCTAATCTGGTGGGAGCAGTTCCACCTCCCCAGAACCAGGCTCCTCCAGGCAGGCACAGTCCCACAAAGCTCTGCTGCCCTGCTCACCGCCTGGCACCTGGTACCTGGCCCAGGGCCCTGCCTGCCACAGGGTCTAGGGCACCAAAGCTGGGAACGGTCCAGACGGGGCTGAGACGGTGAATGGGCGGAGGGCTCGCCCAGGGCAGGGGGTGGGAGGCGGGGGCCGAGGAGGGGTGACCACACAGAGGACCCTCTCCTCCTGCGCCTGGCCTGCTTCAGTGTGCCTGGCCGCCACGTCCCCACCCCCACCTGGCCAACCCGCCCGCCAGTGTCCTCCAGAGACCTGATGCGGATTAGGAAGGGCTGACCCTCTCCTCTTGGCCACAGCAGAAAATGAGAACAAACTGTACCCAAATCCTCTCCACAGGTCATTCCCAGCCCTCTCTGAGCCTGGGGAATCTCAGTCTTCAGCAGAGGCCTTTCCTCACCGCTCAAAGTCTCCAGATCGCTTTCTCCTGACTGTGGGCAGCTCCCAGTTCTGTGTGATGGAAGCCTCTCGGTTCCCATCCTGATTCTGTTCTAACTTGTTATCTGAGCAAATGCAAGTCCCTCCCACTCTGGATCTCAGTTTCCCTATCTGCACAATGACAGGGGTTGTATGGGTTGAGCCTAGGGAATGCTGAGGGTCTGACATCCTAAAGTTCCCATGACACCAGCCACACCCTGCCCTGGCCTCCCATGGCAGGGCCTTTTGTGCTTTGTCCCAAGAAACCAGTGGGGGTCAAGGGCAGGGACAGATGAGGCTGCACAGAGGCAGGGTGCCCAGGCGGGGGCTCACTTTGGGCTTGGTGCTTCGCTGCAGGACGTCCAGGAGCTGTCTGCGGAAGCCTTCCAGCTGGGAGAGGCCAATCCTGGAGAGGGAGCGAGACAGGGCCGTCAGCCAGGCCTGGTCAGGGGCTATGAGAGGTACAGGGCGAGGGGCGGAGGAGCAGGCACACGCCTAGCCCCTGGAACAAGAAGACACATCAGCCAGGGTCATGGGGTGGAGAGGCATCCACAGAGCAGCTCCCCAGAGCAGAGCCGAGGAGTGGAAGGACAGGCAGGGCGGGCACCAGCACGTGCGTTCACCTGGGCTTCTCACCACTGGGCAGCTAAGGGTGGGGAGGGGCATGGAGTCCCTTGAGAGACAGGAATCAGAGTGAGAAAGACACAGGGGCTAGGGGGCGGGTAGAGGCCTGGAGGAGAGAGGAACAGCCTGGCAAGGGACCGTGGAGTCGGGGGAAGGACTCACCTGGGGACGAGGTCTTTGCCCAGAACCACAGCAGTCACGAACTCCTTGGAATACTCCATCGCATCCTCACTGCAAGGGAAGCCGAAGCAGAAGCTAAGGCCAAGGGGGAGGGGTGGTGGCGTTCCGGAATCGGGGGGCCCAGCCACGAGCAAGCCCTGTTCTTGCACTCCCGGGTTGGGTCCCGGGGAGCTGGCTGGTGGCAGGCTGGGCTGCCTGCCCCCTACACTGTCTTTCCCGCTGGTAAGGCTTTGCTGGTAGATCCTGGGGGGCGCACGGCATTTCAGAGCCCCCACCCTCCACTCTCCAAGCCACTCCCAGACCTCCATGTGACTAGAAGTCAGACTCCCAGTCCAGCCCCTAGCACCAGCCAACCCTCAGCCTCCACTGGTCCCAACTGCCCCAGCCAACTCTGAGGCCCCAGATGGCTCACCTCAGCAGGCCCCCTGGTGGGGAGTAGGCAAAGCACTTGAGGGTTGGGTACTGTGGGCGCAGAAGGAAGGAGAGGATGGCAGCGGTGCCCGCACCCAGGGAGTGGCCCACCACAATCAGGCCGTAGTGTTTGGTTCCGCGGCCCTGGAGACCGAGAGAAGCCTGAGAGCCCTGCCCCGCTGCCTGCCAAGTGACTGTCTTAGCCAACCCAAGGGAGGCAGAGGGTCTTCCCACCTTCCCAGAGTCCTGGGATCATGTCTGTGCTGTGTGAATGCTGGGGCACAGAGAACCAAGCGAGGTCCCCACAGAGCGACTGCTTAGGCTGACTGTTCTAATAATCTCTTACTTATGCTTCCAAACCTTGCTCAGAGGTTACATCCTTAGGGAAGCTCTCCTGATTTTCCAGGAGTGGCTCGCTCCCTCTAGTCATTGCATCTGTACCTGGGATGGAGTTTTTTTAATCACTACAGTGATTACTCTGCTATAAACATGTGGTTACCTGACCCCACCTCTCTACCATTTCACTACTAGACTGAAGTCTCCTGAGGCCAGAGCCTGCTTTGCTTTGGAAAGGGCAGCTGGTGGCACCTCAGGAGCTACCTGCACAGACCGTGGCCAGTGGGCAGGACTCAGTTCCCGCCCCTCCCTCAGTTCCCCACTTCTCTCTGCTCTGTATTTTGAGCCTCTCCATGTTTCCTTCTGACAAATGATTCTGCAGCTAGGAAGCTTAAAAGCCGCCTGCCCTGAATCATCTTTGTGCCGCTGGTGTCTGGCATGAATCAGGTGCCCAATGACTGTAGGTGGGGCGGAGCAGGACGCCCACGGGACCTGGCACAAAAGAGGAGGGGTTGGGAGCCAGGCTCGAAGAGGTTGCAGGAGCCTGGCTTGTGTGGGAGGTGCGAGGCTCCATCACCCATCCATCCTCTCCTCTCTCTGCTGCCTTGGAGGAGGGGGACCCAGGTGTGACAAGGGCTTGGTGTCATGGAAAATGCCTCACCAGGTCTCGCCCAAAGGCCTGGGAGAGGACCATCTCCTGCTCCAGTTTCTTCTTGATGTACTCAGCTGAGAGGACCATTCCCTGGGTGGGCAGGAACAGAAGCAGGTGTTGGTGGGAGGCCTCCCAGTGACCAGCAAACCCACAGTGACCTGCAGCTCAGGAACTCCGCCCCATCCATTTTTCCCTTTGGGCCTCGTGACAACCCGGCTGGCAGACATGCCGACTGTGTCACTTCCATTGCACAGGTGGGAACTGAGGCTCAGAGGGGCGGTGTGGCTAATGAAGCTGCTATGGTCACTTCCCAGCTGCCTCTCAGGTTCTTCCATGGACAGGCTCTGGGCTGGGCAGGGCAGTGGGGGTCGCAGCAGTGGGCCGCATGGGCCTTCCAGACTAATCCATGCCTCTCTGACCAATCTCTTCCAGTGAGCCCAGCAGGCAGGGAGGAACCCCCAACAATACACGCCTCTGCATGCTGGCAGGGGAGGAAAGAAGCCCAGGGACTCTGGGGTCCATGATGTGGGGTACCTTGTGGCCTAGCCAGGTGCCGTGGTGCCCCTCCACGGGGAGGCGCTCAGCGTCACCCGTCAGGTCAGTCAGGGCATCCTTGGGGAGAGAGGAGACAGGTAAGGGGTGAGCTAAAGAGGACAGGAAGAGGGAGGCAGGCACCCCCGGGGGCTAGGAGCCACGGGCAGCGTACCTTGGGGGACAGGGTCCCCCGGATACTGATCACCACCTTCTTCTTGTCATGGTCCACCGCCACGTAGAAGGGCGTTTCGTAGACCTAGGAGGCGGGCAGCTCGTGAGCCTGAGCGGCCCCGGTGGGGCCAGACTCGGGGAAAGTGACCTAGGCAGGTCTGCTTCCCGGCCAGGAACTCTGGCTCCACCAGCCACGGGGCCTCTGCCGCTGGAAAGGCTGATGGGCTCCCAGGGTCACTGGGGATCTCCTCCCGACCCCAGTCACAGGCCTGCCCTGCCCTCCCAGCTCCTTGCTGGCTCTGGCAGCCCTGAGTGCCACCACTTGCCCCTCAGTCCAGGTGATGTCTGCCCCTCCCTGCTTCTGCCCTCACTTCCTTTCCCCAAAGGGCTAGGGCCCGGCAACCCAAACACTGGGTGTGGGGTTGATGTCAGATTTCCCAGCCCCAGAGGTGGTGCAGGTAGGCCAGGGTCCGGGGAGGAGGGGGCCACCTCTGGTCTGCCCAGCTAGGGATGCCTGGAAGCTGCAGCCAGCCAGCGCCAGCCAAGCGAGGGCTCCTGCTGGCCTGGAAGGACAGCCTCAGCACCCTAGGCCCTCAGCTGCCTGCTCCAGACACCAGGCTCCCGCCCTGCCTGGCCTCACCGCATCGTGGCAGGAGGTATAGACGATGTCCACCGCAGTCATGTTCTCATCCAGGAAGTGGCGCCGGATGGCAATGGCGTTACAGCCACAGCAGTTGTCTTCCTCGATGGTGACTCCAGGGGCGAACCGCGGCCTCGCAGGACACAGGCAACACCTGGGGTAGGGTGACAGAGAGTTCAGGGCCAGGGAGTCCCTGAGGGAACAACTGTCTCCTGCCACCGTCCCTGGAACCAGTTCCAGTTGGGCGTTCAGCCCCACTGCCTCTCCCAAATCACCCTTGCTAAGTCCTGGTGACCCCCACGTCACCAAATCCACTGGACACTCTTAGCCTTCCTCTTAACTGAGCTCTTGGCAGCACATGACCCTGTGGGCCCTTCCCTCTCCCCACCTGGCTGGGGCCCCCTCCCCTCTGGGATCTCCCCTCTGGGCAGGGCCTACTCAGCGATGCCCCCAACACTGAGGTCCTGGGGTCCCTCTGGGGGCACTGGCTCCTCCATGCACTCCTGCAGTCTTGTGTTTTAGACACCATCTGCATGCTCAGGAATCCATCCCAGGCCTGCCCCAACCCCCAGATGCTTCCATCCAATGGCCTAGCCAACACCTCCCTCGGAGGCCTGACAACCTGCCAGCTCTCAAACCCCTTCCCTGCTTGTGTACCCCAACCCTCCTGAGGTCCTCCCAAGGCCCCTTGGTTGCTTGGCCTCTGGCTTGCAGCTGTCTGTGGCTCCTCAGCCCTCACCCCCACGGCCATGCTACTCGGTCAGTACACGTGCTCGGCTTCCCTTCACACTCAGAGCTGGACTCCAGGCGTTCCCTCACCTCCCCTACCCCCGCCCTGGAAGCTCTGCCTGGGACTGCCACAGTGGCCTTGACTGGCCTCCTTGCACTTGCCCCTATGCTCTCAGCTCAGCAACAGAGTGGCCCTTTTAAGAGAAGTCGAGCCACATCATTTTCTTTTTAAGACCCTACAGCAACACCCTGTGTACCCCACCTGGCCCTGGTCTCTCTGATCTGCCGCCGGCATGTTCAGCAGCACCTGAGACAGCGTGGCCTGGCCCTTGCTCCTCTGGGCCTCTGTTCAAACGTCCTGTCACAGTGAGGTCTCTCCTGCTACCTCATCTAACAGCGAGGGCTCCCCAGGCCCCCAGGCACCTGGCTTCATGTGGGTCCAAAGCGCCCATCTGCTCCACCATGTGCCCTATTCGCCTTGTCTATGTGCTGTCCACCTCCCTGCTGGGCAGTGATCACCACAGAGAGGTCCACGGCTGTATCCCCAGCACCCAAACAGTGCCAGGCACACAGTAGCCTCCCCTGTGAGGATGAGGCAGCCTGGGAGCTGGGCACCCGACTAGGTGCAGCTGCGCCTCAGGCCACCAGAGGGAGCCAGCACCCAATGGCTAGGGCACCAGGCGCTGGAGCCCACGTGACTGGGCCTGCCAGCTGTCACGGGATGACAGCTGAGATTTTATTAAGAAGCTTGGATTCTGGCGATGCTGGGAGGTTTGTCTTCACTTGGAACATCACCTGAGTGACTATTACACACTTTCCAATGGGGAGAGGAGTCGCTGAGAAATCACAGTGTTTGCGGAGGGGACAACCCCAATGTACAATGGGACAGCATGGTCCCCCCCACTGCAGGTCAAGTGGTGGCGGGCCAGGGTCTAGGGGCTGAGCTCCTGTGCTTGGCAGCTGTTCCCTCTTCAACCTCAGCTGAGCATGAAGCTGTAACAGTGTGGCCTTTGGAGACTGGAAGCTTGAGTTTGAACCCTTGCGGTGTCACTTCCTGACTGCAAGGGCCTGGAGGTCATTCAGCCATTCTAAGCTTCAGTTTCCTCTTCTGTAAGAGCAGGTGCTGACAGCTACTTCACAAGGCTGGTGTGAGATCAAGGGTCCAAGATGCAGAAATGGTCTGGCCTATTATAAGTTCTTAATAACGGGTGGCTCCTCCCTTCTCTGGTGACAGGGGTGCCTCTGAGTCAGTGATCTGCAGGCCAGGGGGACCAGTCAGGGGAGCAGGGCCAGCACCCTGGAAGGCAGGGCCCTGGGGCTCATCCAGGGCAGGGCTGGGGCCCAGCCAGAAGCAGGCCTGGCTTGCTGTGCTCTGCATGGGCTGAGAACTGCTGCCAGGGGAGAGGCCTGGGCCTGAGGCAGATGGGCAGCCCTTCTCCCTCTGGCCAGGCTGCTATGGACAGGCTGGGGCACTGAGAAGGACACTGGACTCTGGCCTCCTCCTACCACCCTGGGCTGCAGACCTGCCTCTCTCAGCCCCACAGGTACCTGGTTCTTCCAGGCAGGGGCCTGGCTGGGCCCTCATGAGTCTAGGGACTCTGCTCTCTCTGCAGCACTAAGGCACCTAATGCAGATACCAGCATCCCTCCTGTCTGCAGAGCACCAAAGAGCCCTGCCTGCCAGTGACGCCCTGGGTTCTGAAACACCCTATGGGCAGGCAGGACAGATACCACCTGTTACAATTTAGGAAACTGAGGCTCCAAGAGATGTCCTCACACTGCCAGCGAGTAATGGAGCCTGGTGCTCATTTTGAGAAGTTCTCTGCCATCGCTGGGACTCCCAGCGATGCAGGCAAGAATGCCAGGCACGTGCAGCTGACAAAGATGGGAAGTGGGCATGAGGTGATCTAGTCCTCTCTGATCAGTTGCTGGAGGGATGATGAGATTCGGCCCCGAGAGCCACTCAGCTTTCTGAGGACAGGGAGGGCATTGCAGAGTAGGTGTGGCTGCTGTGGGTCCCAAGGGCAGAGGTGTCAAGGAAAGAAGCTGCTGCCCAGAATGCCAGTCTTTCCAGAACAGGAGCCCAGGGAGCTGTCCTCCTTCTTCCTGGCATGAGCTGAGGGCGGAGACACCCAGGACAGGGAGGGGTTCCTCCTGGAGCAGGTGCCCTTCTCTGGCCCACTTAGGAAAGCAGAGTCCACCCAGTCCCCAAGTGGTGGGCTGAGGGCGGAGCCAGGCTGCAGGCCAGGTCTGGGGCTAAGGCCTTTCCCAGATCCCTACGAAGAAGGTTGGAGCCTTTAAGTAACAGGCCTTCTTGGTGCCTTTCCAGAGACCTCTATGGATGGGGCCTCCCTACCAGGAAAGTCCTTTCTTCTAGAAAGGCAGAGCACATGAGGGGAGCTGAGAGAAGGGAAGATGTGGGCAGAAGGGAATGGCTGAGGGGGCAGAGAGAGAACGCCAGAAGGGGAGGGAAGGCAGCAGTATGGGTGTTATGCAATATCTCATCTAGCCCTCTCCAAAAAATTCCACGAGGTATGTATCAACATCTTCACTTCGCAGATAAAGAAACCAAGGCTCAAAGAGGTAGACCCACTTGCCCAAGGCTGCAAGTGACAACATCTGGATTCAAACCCGTAACTGTGTGACTCCGAAGCCCACAACTTCACTGCTCAGGGATAACACAGAACTAGAAAGGCTGAGGCCCACAGAGGTGCAGAAAAGAAGCCATTCACGGCAAAGCAGCGGGTGCAGCCCCTTAGCCCTTCCTCACATACCACCCGGGAGGAGAGGCGCAATCGCCGGGAGACGGGACGGGGTACTCACGAGCAAGACCGAGCCAGCTGGCAGAGGCCGCAGGCGGGCTTCCGCATCAGGTACATGGGCCACCCATAGGCAGCCAGGGCAAAGAGCATGTAGTAGCAGACCTCTTTGTAGCGGAGCATCTCTTGCTAGAAGAGAGGAGGCAGAGGGCAGTCACCTCCTGCCCTTCCCGCCTGCAGCCTCAGGGCCCAGCAGTTCCCAGGGTGGGAGACTGCAGACCCACCCCCAGGCAGGGAGGCACTGCTGGTCCCCTGCTGAGGTGTGGGGGCCAGGCCGTGGAGGAAGGCCACTCCTCCAGGCGATAATTGCATTTCCCTAATTATCTCCATGCAACCAGAACACGAATCCTCAGAGATCTGTCCTGTTGCTCCAGTCTCAGAATTAATGATTTGGGGACAGAAAATCACTTGGTCCATTTCCTTGCCTGTTTTCCAGAGAAGGGAAGAGTTGGGGGCGTGAGGCGTAATCCCCCCAACTCAGCAATCAGTGCTGGGAAAATGTAGCCCTGAGAGGCCCCGGCCCTCTAGCTGGGCGGGGTGTGTGGGCCTTGAGCAACAGGGCAGCCACGCTGGGCCAGGAGACCAATCACCAAATCTCTGGCCCTCCTGTTCTTTGACTGCAAATATCGGGAGCCTTCAACTTGACTCAGCCAGCTGCAGGTTCCCAGGGCTCCGGGCAGGGGCTGCGGTGGTGGGAGATTGGGATCTCTCCGGAGAAAGGCGCCAGTTTGAAAGTCAGTGTGTCTGAGGCCCGGCGGCCACTGTTGACACTGAGGAGGTTATTGGCTGCTGGGGTGGAGGGAGGAAGAGGCAGGGGTGTCCCAGCAAAGTGTCTGCCAGCTTCCAGTCTTTCCCGAGTGCCCCAGGCACTGGGAGAGGGAATTAGTCACCTTGTAAAAGTTAAGGAGGGTGATTAGTCACCTTGTGAAGTGAAATAGGTAGCACCTTGATCAGGGCCCAGAGGGGTGGAAACATCCCTGGCCAGCTCAGCTGCTCTTCAGGAACGAGAGTGGGAAGGAGGTAATTATCCTCTCCCTGTCGGGAGCTCCCGGCAGCCCTGGGGATGGGGTGGGCCCTGGCAGCCTCTGCCAGGTGGCAGGTGTGACCCTGGCACCTCAATGGGAGTCACTTGATGGGAGTCACAGCTGTCTGCCCTGCCCGCTCCCTGTGAGGAGTGGGAGGCAGAGGGTGGTGAGAATACCCAGGACAGAGCCTGGCAAGCAGAAATGGGCTGGTTTGAGGCACCTACTATGGATATGGCTGTTTTCAGAGAGGATACAAATGCCTGCTTTAGTGGGGAGTAGGGACAGGCAGGGAGGACTGAGGCTTTTCTAGAGGATTGAGTGTTGGGGGCTTTTTCCCTCTTTTTAAGGGACAGTGCAGCTGGAGTGCAGTGGCAATCGTAGCTCACTGCAGCCCTGATCTCCTGGGCTCAAGCAATCCTCCTACCTCAGTATCCCAAGTAGCTGGGGTCACAGGCATGTGCCACCATGCTTGGCTATTTTTATTTTTTATTTATTTTTTTTTTTTACAGAGACAGGGTCTCACTATGTGGCCCAGGCTGGTCTCAAACTCCTGGCCTCAAGCAATCCTCCCACTTTGGCCTCCCAAAGTGCTAGGATTGCAGGTGCAAGACAGCACATGTGGCCTAAAGGACTGAGACTTCTAAGAGACGGAATCCTTTCCATTAGCATCCTGGCTGGCACTGAGGTTTCCTGGCACTGTGATGGGAATGGCTCGCATCCTCTCAGCACAGCTCTGGTAGAAGGTGTGCCCAGCGTCATTTCAAAGATACAGGATCAGGCTCAGAGGTGATGAGGGGCCTACTGGAGGTCGCAGAGACAGGCATCAGAGCAGATGCATGCTCCAATCGTTTGCTTCCTAAGGCAGGGCCTGTTTCTCCCGGCTGCCAGCTGTGGTTTCAGCCTGGGCTGTACTAGGCCCTAGGCTGTGCTGGGCCCTGGCCTGTGCTGGGCCCTGGGCTGTGCTGGGCCCTGGGCTGGGGCCCTCCCACCATGGTACTGGTACCACCTTTCCCTATAACACACTGAATTTCTACGAAAGACGATTGAGAAAAGGTTCCACTATAAAAAAGCTCAGAAACCCAAGTACTACGCCCCTTGTGTTTCATAACAGCAGCAGGAGCAGCAAAAATCCTAGCAGCTCACCCTGGTGAAGCACTCTGTCATCTCAAGAGGCCAGGACCAAACACTTCTGAACTTGGTAAAGGAATTCAGGGGATTTGTTTGTAGAATCGGTGTGAGGTGGGTGGTTCTCGTGAGGGGCATGATCTGAGCAGAGAGGCTCTCCGGAGAGCCTGGAGGAGGGGGACAGGGCGGGGGCAATGTGGCTGGCACTGCGAGGGCAGCTGGGAGGAGTTTGCTTAGGTCATTGTGGCAGAGTGCGAGGGATGGGGATGGGGTGGGGTAAGAGCCGATCTCTGACTCACCGAATTCTTGAGGTCGAGGTACTTGGTGTTTCTGGTCACCGGCATCCCAGACAGGAAGGCCAAGATGTCATTGTTTGCCTGTAAGACAGGCAGGTGAAGAGGGACAATCACTGGCCCAGGCCCGGCTGCACGGCCGGGAAAGGGGGCCCAGGCCCTGGTGTCCACCTGCTTCCCAAAGGCCAAGAAGCCCAAAGGGCATGCAGCTTCTAGTTCTTCCAGGATTCAGCCACTTTTCCAAAATCTGAGGTATCCCCATATTTCCAGATGCTCCCCTTCTACCCAAAACACCAAGCCCCTGAGGACGTTCCTGGCCCACAGCAGGGGGAAGGTATTTTGTATGAGACACTGAGAAACCCTAACTGGGGTTGGTGTGCTGGGGGGAATGTGGGGTGGGCAGAGCAGCCATGTAGAAGACCAACTCGGGAGCTCACAGCGTCCACTAAGCCTGCGGTTAGAAGTCCTTTGAGAGCCAGCCCCAGAGGCAGCCATGCATGGCCCGGAAAGTCCCTTGAATAGTAGTCACGGAAAGCCTGGCCAAAGGACAAGCTCAGGAAGGCAGGGGGAGCCAGAGGAAAAGGTGACCTCCAGGGTGCAAGAGGGTGCATGGTCACTGGGGAGCGGCGTGGGAGCCGAGTCCTCTGCTGCAGGGGCCGCAGGGAAGGGGCTTGGAAGGAGGGTGGTGTGGAGAGGTGACCTGGAGAGGGCCTGGCAGTGCTCACCTCGTCCAGCACGGCATTGCGCTTGGCCCGCTGCCGCTGCCGGAGCAGCACCAGGCCAGCAATGATGTCGGACGGCACAATGTCAAGGTCCCGGAAGAACTCCGCAAAGAGGTAGGCAATTTCTGAGTAGGCATCCTATGAGGTCCAGGAAGGCAGGAGGCAGTGGCAGGGGAGCAGGAGAGAGGACGAGAGGCCAGGAGTAAATCCCCCAGGACTGGGACGCTGCAGAAGCAGGTGTCTGCTCGGGGATCCCCTGGGCAGGTTCTCCCTGGCACCTCCACAGCGCCCGCTGAGCCTGACCCCATGCGGCCCTGTGCGCCTGTGACCCTGAGGGCCCTGCCCAGGGCTCTGGGCTCCTAGATCTGGCAGTAGCCTCCCAGCCCTCTCCTCTCCTTGGAATTTGCACGGTGCCCACTGTCTACCAAGAGCAGGCACCTACTTGAGTCACTCCTTTCTGCTTTCCCAGATGCTAGGATCAAGGCCGGGTGGCTCTGGCTCATTTCTCCTCTAGCCAGCTCCTGGCTGCCTTCGCCCCACCAGCTGGGACCTTGGAAGTCCCTCTTAAGGCCTCTGTGTAGCCTGCTAGGTCTCAGGTCCCCTCCCCCAGCTACCCACAGGCTGCTGGCTCAGTGATCCCCACAATGTGCCCTAGAAGGGGGGTGTTCTCTCTGGTCCAGTGGCCCCCCTGTGGCTTCTCTCCAGGTCCTTGGCCTGAGGACAGCGCATGTCTGGGCCTCAGGGCAGGAGGCGAGCCCTGCTGGCTGGTGCACTCTTAGTCTTCCCTTCCTGGCCCCACGCTGCAGCCCCAGCCCCAAGCCTCTTCCCTAACCTGTCAGGAGATGCTGAGGTGGGAACAACCACATGGCCAGGTCTCACCGGGTCTCGCCCCTGGATGTTTGGTACTCGTAAGTGAATCAATCAAGGGCTGCAAATTCAAATGCCGAATGGAGCCAAACAGAGCCAGCTACTGCTCAGCTCCAGCTGACCGGAGGCCCTCCAGGACCCACTTTGCCAGATTTAGAAATACAGAAGTTTATGGAGACACCCCTGATTTTTAAATACTGGCATCCAATTAAAGTGTAAGCAACACAACACAGGCTGATTAAAACGTGCTTGGGACGGGACCTGGCCCCTGAGGCCATCAGTGTCTATCGGGACCTTTGCCCTGGGGCTCCGCTGTGATGTGCTATCTTTTCCCCAGACTCTGACAACAGCCCCAGCTCTGCCTGTGCACCCGGAGGGGCGGGCGTGCCCTCCACACAGCAGCCCCAGCCTCCATCCGCCAGGGGCCAGCTCTCTGCCCTCTGCATGGCCTGCCTACAGCCCAGACCCCTCAGACCGCCCCAGAGAGACGCAAGGGGGTGCTCCCCGCCCACCAGGGAACTCGGGGGCTTTCTTACACTTGATTACTCACTCTACGGCTCACCAGGGGACGCTGGTGGGCAGGAGCCACTCGAGGCTTCCCGGTGGCTTCCGTGGAAGGCACTTGGCTGTCTGCCTCAGGGAGGAGTGGTCTCCTGACCTCACTGGCTCTGCTACTAACTAGCTGTGGGACGCTGAGCAAGTCACTCCACCTCTCTGGGCCTCAGCTGCCTGATCTGTAAAATGAGGGGTGGGACTAGATGATCTCTAAGGTCCCTGCTCGCTGCGGGGCGCCCCTGGAGGATCCCGGGGCCTGCTTCCCTTCCCTCCCCTTGGGGGCCACCCCCAGCTGGCCGTGTCTTCCTTCTGCAGTGCCCTGGCATTAAGTTTGACCCTCTGGCCACTCCTCCGAGCTCCCAGGTGCTGAAGGCTATGTGTCCCCATCTAAGACCGTGCTAAATGCCTATCGGCTTTGCCAGGCCTTCTTGATTAATTTGCTGCTGGTGAAATGCTACTTTTCTTTGTCTTTAGGTCACCCTGACTCTGCATTATTTCTTCTCCTAAACTACAGTGTAAGTTCCAAGGGAGTCGATGCAGTCTTCACAGCTTTCTGTTCCCTTGACAAAGCAAGTGGACGTGGTCTTGCACGCTGGAGCGAGTGGCTCAGTGAATAACAGGCCCTGTGTGAGCAGGCTGTACTTGCTGCTGGAAACCCAGCTCCTTCCCACCAGCCCTGCCCCATCCTGCTTTGCCAAAGGAGCAAACAGCCCCTTAATCACCTGACCACAGGATGTGAGCCAGAGGGGAGCGACCTCCCAGTACTTACTGACTGGGAGTCCTTCGTCCTCGTGCAGCAGAGGAACACTTTGAGCCGGCGCGACCAGCTGGTGGCTTGACCCTCCTCTAAGCGGTGCCTGCAAAGCAGGAGAGGCGGTATGTGTGAGGTCAGAGGGCTGGACCAGAAGAGCTGGGACCCAGACATTCTGGAAACAGGGCAGCCTGTTCCCAGGACCTTACCAAAGGGTTCCCACAGGGGGTTCTTGGGGGTAACAGGGCCCAGGCCCTGTCAGAGCTGGTGGCCAGTGGCCTGGCTGCTGGCCAGCAGCGGCACTGCCTGACGGACTCCTGCTAGCCTAAGATGGTGTGTGCTGTTGGCCAAAGGTGGGTGGGTGGAAGAGGGAGGTGGGGAGTGCTGCAGAGACCTGGCTTTTGGAAGACCGAACACAGGCAGGCTCTGGGGCTTCGGAGCTGGGAGCCCAAAGTGGGGGCTACCCTGCAGCTCAGGTGTCCAAAGACTCAAACCCTGGGAGAGGTCAGCAGGGTACTGGGCCTCTCTGTCGTCTCGTTCTAAGGCCTGGAACAGACCTTCCAGAAAGACCTGCTTTTCCCCAGAAAGGATTTCAGACACTTACATATTCTACTTACAGGAAATTTATGGGGCTGAATGAGGCTCTGCATTTCCCAATTCCTTGGATCTGATACCTAGGCAGAGGGCTCCATCCCTCACCCACATGGTTGCCCTTGTCTATTCTCACCCCCCAACCCCACCCCCAGTGGGTCTGGCTGCTCGGATGGAGATTCAGGGTCTCCAGGAGTCTGTACCCAAAGGCAGAGCAATGCGCCAGTTATTCACAGAGGTTCCCCCTAGGCTGGATGTCTGCAGTCGGTGTGTTTTGAGCGTAAAGACAACAGATCCAACGTTAAAAGTGCAGACCTCCAAACCGAGCAAGAAGGGGCTGGCTTGCTTTTGTGCCATGTGCTGGCCCCTTAAAAGCCTGATGCTGGGTGGTCAGGAGAGGAAGGCAAGGGTGGCCCTCAGATGCATTCAAGGCACTTAACATCCATCTGGAGTGACAGGCCAGGCCCTTTTTTAACCTCTTGGCTCCTCCGTCTCTCTAAGGACCGCTTCCTGCTCTCCAACCCTGGCTCCATAAGGCAGATGGCCACAAGGAGGGCAACAGGGTCTTCCAGGGCTAAAGAAGGTGGGTAGGGAAGGGTGCAGGGAATTGCTGCTCTGGGGACCTGCTGGATCTTAGGGACTTGGACAGCTGTATATCCAAAACCAATGTCCCACCTTCCAGGGCTTGATGAAGGGACAGTGTGCTGGCCAAGCAGGATTCCCCAGAGCACTGTGGGATGGGTGGTGGTGGCCAGCTGGGCTGGGAGGGAAAATGGGCTATGGGGCCTTGGCTCCTAGACCTGACATTTTGGGCTGGGACGTGGCCAGAGCAGGCACGGGTGTGGCTCTGGCTGCAGTGCTGAGCTGACGTGGAAGGTCCACGGGGAGCCGAACACAGCAGTGCAGGAGGGTGGGATGGGGAGAATTCCTGCCGGGCGGGGGGCGTCCAGGCAGCCTGCTCCCCAGGTGAGGGCGCTTGAGCCAGCTGCTCTGGGCTGCAGGTGTGGTGCCAGTTCTGCACCTCAGCAGCTCGACCCGGGGCAGGCGACCTGCCCTCTCTGGGACACGGATTCCTCATCTGTGGAATGGATCTCACAACCATGCCGGGGTTCACAAAGGGATTAAATGGATGAATTGTGTGAAGGGCTCGGCATGGGGAGCTCCTTACATAATGCACTGTAGAAGCCCCATTAACAGGAGGTACTGGGACCCACCCTGGAAGCCCCTGTCTTTTTCTTTCAACAAACAGAAATTACTGTGACACTGCCTGGATGCCCTCTCTCATTTTGTCTGCCATGGCACACTTTCCCCATCTTTAAAACATCATGCAAAATTCACGCCCTCTAGGAAGCTTTCCTTGACTTACCTCTCCCAATCTCTGAATCCTAGAGGCAGCCTAGCCTAATTTAACAGTTAGTTAAGCAAGGACTCTAAAGCCAGACAGCCTGGGCTAGTTCCCAGTGTTACCATTTTCGAGCTGTGCAACCTCGGGCCAGTCCCATCATCTCTGTGTATGTCAGTTTCTCCACCCATATGATGGGGAAGATGACAGCTGTCTGGTGGACTTGTAACTTACTACACGCAATGCTTGGTTTCATTGTTATTATCATTGTTATTATCAGCAGTGACAACGATGACAACAGTTACTATTAACTGAGCACTTACCCCGTGTGAGCACTGTGTTAGTCACTCTGCAGGTATCATCTCGGTTAAATCTCACAACAACATCACGAGACAAGAATTGTTATTCCCACTTTATAGACAAGGAAACTGAGGCAGGGAGCAGTTAAGCCCTTTGACTAATGCCCATGGCTCACACGAGGTTGGCATGCAGTCTGGGAGGCCTGGGATAGCCTCCTGGAGAATGGAGACCTCTGCTCACCAGTCAGCAAAGCCCACCCTGGGACTGCCCACCCAGCCCGCTGACTGACCGCAGGTTGTAGGTCCGCAGGTTACGCTGCCTCCTCTTGGTGGCTCTCAGCTTGACAAAGGTGCGGCCCGTGGGGTCAAAGACGCACAGGACAGTGATGCACACGCTGAGGATGACTACCCAGTTGCAGACAACCATTCCTGCGGGCAGCAGTGGGAGGCAAGAGGCAGAGGCGCTGGGGACACTTCTCTGGCTCACCCACTCTGAAGAAAGGGACATTGGAGGCTCCCTAACCCCAAATGCTGCTGAGGACAAAAGCCAGGCTCCAAAGCCCCTGGTCCCAGTCTCTGGCCACATACGTGGCCACCCTCTTGCCCACCCACAACCCCGAGGGCCACTCTTGGCTCAGAGCAGGCAGCTTTGTGGGTTTCCAAGGAGGTGTGGAGGAGCCTTGACTTGACCTGAGCAGCTCTGTGCCTGCCACAGCCCACCCCAGACCAGGGTCCCCCAAGGGTAGTTGGCAGGCCTCAAGGGTGAGGGAAGCAGCCTCGCCCAGTCAACCTGCTGGTGCCCCCAGAGAAGCCACTTCCCTCTGGCAATACCCAAGCTTCTTCCTCTCTAAACTGATCCTGTCCCCTGTGCCCCTGGGGTTGCTGAGGCTCCAGCAGGCCTCACCCAGACATACCGAGGGTGACATTCTTGGCAGTGAGGTCGTTGCAGGAGGTGTAGTACTGAGTGAGCCAGACAATGCCCACGATGGCATAGATGAACTCGATCACCAGGATGGCTGCAAGGAGAGCAGGCCTGGCTGAAGGATGGCTGCCACTTGCCCGCCAGGGAAGGGCCTAGAACCCTGGCCTGCCTTTCCTATTGTGGGGCTTTCAGCCAGCTCAGTAGCAAAGGCAGAGGCAGCGGGCCAGCAGCACTCCCCCACCCCCACCTCCCAGGCCCAAGCCTGTCCTGTCACCATTTGGTCCTGTTGGCCCCTGCCCGATCGCTTGCAATGGGCCCACCACCTCTCCGAGCTTCTGTGCTCTCAGGTCCCCAGGGCCTCCCTGATGGAGTTTTGATCTTGTTGCCCAGGCTGGAGTGCAATGGTGCGATCTTGACTCACTGCAACTCCTGCCTCCTGGGTTCAAGCAATTCTCCTGCTTCAGCCTCCAGGGTAGCTGGGATTACACGCACCCGCCACCAGGCCCAGCTAATTTTTGTATTTTCAGTAGAGACGGAGTTTTGCCATGTTGGCCAGGCTGGTCTTGAACTCCTGAACTCAAGTGATCCACCCGCCTCGGCCTCCCAAAGTGCTGGGATTACAGGCGTGAGCCGCCGCGCCCGGCCCATTTCCTCATTCTCTCAGGATTTCAGAATCGTATGTCCGAACTCTGGAATCAGACATATCTTAGGCAAGTTACCTATTCTCTCTGAGCCTCCGTTTCCTCATCTGTAAAATGGGAGTGACAACATCTATGTCATAGGACTGTGCAAAAATTAGATGAGAGCATGTTCACTTCATGGAAACTATTTCCCAGCAAGAGGCCTCTGGAACCTGATGGAGGAGAAGGGAAGGGTCCAGCAGCCAGTCTGCATCCAGCTCAGGCCCCTCAGGGGCCAAGACTGGAGGGGAGGGGTATGGAGTGGTGGCTGAGGAGATCTGCTGGCCTCAGGAGGGCAGCCTGGGAAGCCCCAGCTCCATGGGCAGCAGTGTGGCAGCTCAGAGACCAGACTTTGGAGCCAGACAGCGTGGGTTCAAATCCCAGTTCCAATATTTACATGCTTACTAGTTGTGTGACCTTGAGGGGGGCTAAGACTGGGCCCCAGTTTCCTCATCTATAAACGGAGAACAGTAACACCCGCTCCCTGTGAGTTAACACAGGAAAAAGGGCTTAGCCCAGTGCACAGAAGCACAAGAGCAGTGTTCACTAGAAATGACCAGAAGAAGGGGCTGCAACCTAAGCCCAGGAAGAGGACACAGGCTGGTCCCCTGGCGAGCTGGCCCAGACCCCTGAGGGGGTTCCCAGGAAGCAGGGGGCCTGTTGTGAGAAGGATCACAAGGAAGACGTGCTTTGAAGAGATGCACATGGTTTGGGATGGGGTCAGCACCTTTTTCTGAAAAGGGTCAGAGAGTAAACATCTTGGACTCTGGGACTCCTCAACTCGGCTGTTGTAAGGCAAAGCAGCTGGAGACAATACCTAACTGAAAGGATATGTTCCAATAAAACCTTATTTTCTCTTTTTTTTGAGATGGAGTCTTGCTCTGTCACCCAGGCTGGAGTGCAGTGGCACGATCTTGGCTCATTGCCGCCTACGCCTCACTGCAACCTCTGCCTCCCAGGTTCAAGTGATTCTCGTGCCTCAGCCTCCCAAGTAGCTGGGATTATAGGCGTGTGCCACCACACCTGGCTAATTTTTGTATTTTTAGTAGAGACAGGGTTTCCCCATGTTCACCAGGCTGGTCTCGGACTCCTGACCTTGTGATCCACCTGCCTCGGCCTCCCAAAGTGCTGGGATTACAGGCATGAGCCACCGCACCTGGTCCCAAACCTTATTTAATAACACATACAGCAGGCTGGATTTGGCCCTCAGGCTGCAGTTTGCTGACCCCTAGTCTAGAATGTAAGCCATAGAAGGCCTTAGTTCACTGCTGTACCCCAGTGCTAAAACAAGGCCCGGCTCACAACAAGTGCCCAGTAAATACTGGCTGAATGAATGGAGAGGTGGGAGTTGTCTGGGGCAGCACCCCAGGGTGGGTGGCCCTTACCCAGGCGCACGTAGAGCACGTACTGCATGGAGTCGCGGGGCTCCGTGTAGAGGATGCCCCCGCGCATGCTCAGCCAGATGATGGCCATCTCAGCAATCATGCAGCTCAGCAGGATGCCCAGGTAGCCGCGGCCGTGGTCCACCAGGTTCAGGGAGCAGGCCTCGTGCGGGTTATAGACCAGGCCGAAGAGCACCACGGACAGGATCACAAACCTGTCACAGGAATGCCCATGTGAGCGAGGCCAGGAGGCCCCTGCACCTCAAGATGCCACTAGCAGGCAGGCCCTTCCCCAGCCCGGATTCAGGGGAAAGTGGGGTGGCAGCAGGCGCCTCCTCCACAAGACCATAGTCCACCTGGCATCGAATGCCTAGAAGGGCATGGGCAGCCAATAAAAGACTCAGGGTTAGCCATGGGGAGACAGCGGCAGCAACTCCCCCCAGTGTTGAGGGCAGGTCCAGCAAAGGTAGCAGGGGTCTCGGCTCCATGTGGGTATTGCCCTAAGGGGCTCGATGTTTCAGGCACCTCCTCCAGGCAGCTGGGGGCATGACAGGGTCAGGACTTGGGCCCAAGCAGGGAGGAACAAATGGCCAGAAAGCTTCCTTCCAGGCCTTTCTCCCCAAACCCAGGCCTGTGGCCCTGGGCCTGGGGACTCACCAGGTGGTATGCAGGAGGAAGAGGAAGATGGCCGGTAGGACGAGGTCATCGCTGCCCACAGACCAACGCCGCCGGAACACCACGATCCCGGGCATGGCTGGCGGCTCTGCAGAGGCTCAGCGGACCTGGTGCTCACCTCCTGAAAGAAAGCAGAGGACCTTGTAGCTGCCTGAGGAGGTGAAAGCACCCAGGGCCACTGCATTCCTGGGCCATGGGACCAGTCCCTGGTGTGGCCAGAAGCACAGGCATTTTTGGAGCTGGCCACTGGAAGTGCTGACCCATCTCCGGGCAGGAGCCAACACAAAGGACCTTAGCAGCAGGACACAGACTTCAGCCTTCCCTCTGGGGTCTCTCCTGTCCCCCGAGACTGGCACTAGCCCCTAGGGATTGGTTTCTACCTGGGGTTACCCCAACAGTCACTGTTTAGCTCTATTAAAGACCCCCTTTTTCCTCCTTCATGGGATCAGTGGGACCCTCAGCCCAGCCCTCAAACCCTATAATCTTTAGACCTGGCCCAGTGCACACTGCCCTTGGAGTCAAGAGAGGGGCTTCCCAGACCAAGAACAAGCCCATCCAATAGCACAAAGCCTGGAAGTGAAGGAGGAAAGCTGACGGCCTTGGGAAGGTGGGGGCAAGGGACCCTGTATAGCTGGCAGCTGGGACTGACAAACATGGAGGGTGAGGAGTGCCTGGCATAGAGCAGGTGCTCAGTAAGCATTTCTTGAATGAGGGCTTCAGTTTCCTGCTTTGCTAGAAGCCAAGAGCATGCTCTATGAGTTGGTTTTGAACCCATCACACAGAAGTCCCCACCACAGCTATGCCTCCAGGAAGGGAAGGGCACGGTTGAGGTGCAGGGTCAGGAGTAGGGCTTGGGACACCTTCCACCCCACACTGCTAGAAGGATGGGGTGAGCCCTTTGGGGTAACAACCCTCCCGGCAACCATACCTCCCAAGCCCACCCTGAGCCATGCAGCTTTTACAGCTGGATTTCCAACTCTCTGAAGTAGGTGAATTCAAATCAGCCTCGAGCAAGCTCAGGAAAGAGTGCCCAGGAACTCAGGGCCCCCACTCCTCAGCACCCCGAACAGAAAGGAGGCAGCACGGGTGGGAGGCGACCCAAGAGGGAGTTAGGTCCCCAGAGATACCCCTAAAGGAATTTAGGGTAGCCCTACACTAAACTGTGGAGAGGGAGCCTTGCTGCAGGGGGCTGGGGACCAAGTTGGTGGGCAGCTGCCCCCTGAGGCCAGTAGAGGCTTACATGGCACCTGGTCCGGGGCAGGCGGCAGATCCTCCTCTCCCCAGTGGCGGCTCCGGGAAAAATGTGTGTCCGAGGAGCCCGGCATCATTCGGGGAGAAAGCAGCCAAGTCTCCCTTGGCCAGTGGACATAGCCCTCAGGGTGGGCGAGAGGGCGTGGGGCCGGGTGGCCAGCCCGCATGTCCGCCCGGCCCGCCTCCCTATCCCCGGTGCAGTCACTTGGCGAGCTGTGGCCTGGCGCGGGCTGGCGGGCTAGCCTGCCGGGGTCGTGCCTACTCCTCCCCCCACCCTCAGGAAGTGACATCATCCCACTCTCTCTCCAAGGAGGAGTCGGAGCTCAGCTTCTGGGAAGCAGGGAGAAGGGTGGAGAGTGAGGGAGCGTGGTGGTGGGGTGGCTGGGCTTGGAAGGGGGGTGGTCTGTGGACTGCAGGGGGCCGGGGCTTCAGCAGTGCCTGTGACATGTGGCTGACAGCACCAGCTTCAGATTAGGGTTGGACATGATAGGACAGGAGGGGGCCAGAGCACCACGGGTGGCAGTTGGGCTGGGGCAGAACAGAGCTGCCAACAGCTGGTCTTGCCGCCTCCTCCCCACCTCCAGGTGGCTCAGAGGGTGAGGCGCAGTGCCGGGTCGGGCTCAGGAGGCTGTCGGGGCTCCCAGGAGCCCCTCACATGAATGGAATGGAATGGAATGAATCTAGAGATGGGGGAGCAGCACGCCCCTGCAGGTGCTGTGGCTCTGCATCCTGCTCTGATCTGGCCAGACCGGTGGAGAAGGGGGCAGTGCTGTCCCAAAGGGGCTAGCTGGAGGGCTAGGGTCTGGCTCTACCCAGCCTGCCCCCAGGCCTGCCCCTGCCAGCAGCCCAGAATATCTCCTTCTCAGGTCCACCCCATGGATGGCCCCTCTCAGTCACCCTGGGAGGCCCCTCCTCTCACTCCCACCCTTGGCTCCATGGAGCCCAGGACAGCTAACACTCCTCGAGATCACACACCATCCACCCAACATGCTCACACTCACTCTGCACTCCCCTCCTCTGCCCGAACCATGCCCGCTCGCCCCAGCTCTCAGGCTGGAAGGAGTGAGCCGAACCTGGCACTGGGCCCTGCAGAGGTAGCTGTAGGACTGTCAAGACGCTGCAGGGATATGACCAGTGGTAACCACTGCCCCCACCTCAGCGTGACCAGCCTTAGGCTAACTGCCATGGTCAATGCCAGTGCCTACCTAGAGCATGAGGCAGGGCTCATGGGGCCAACCCTGCTGGGTACCCAGTGACAGGCCTGCACCCGTGGCTGGCCCACCACCATAGAATCCGAGGCACAGGGGCTGGGACGCAAGAGCCAGGCTCGCTGGTTTTGAACCCGGGCTCTACCACATACCCACTGCGTGACTTATTAGTTATGCCTCAGTTTCCTCAACTGTAAAATGTCAATTTGTAAAATGTCGATTATCCCTACCTCCAAAAGTCCTAGTAAGAATCGCATGAGACAAGGTCTGCAGAGGCCCTAACTGTCTGAGCTGGGGCGGGCAAGGCGGAGGGAGTGCAGGGAACCCTTTGCTGGACCAGCCACCCCTCCCCGCTGGGCTGGTGGAATGTCCAGCTGGTCACCAACAAGTCAAGGTCTGGGGTGGGGGTGGCAGGGCCTGTGCTGCATGGGGCTTGGGGGTGGGCCGCACCACTCTCCAAGTCAATTCATACATCTCTTGGGGCTGCTATTTTTAAGGGCCTGAATGGTGCCCTTTCTCTAGAGACCCCGGCCCATCACAATAAGGGCCTGTTCCCCTGCTGGGGATGTGATTTCATCTGGAGGAAATGTCTCAGGAGTGGGGAGGGCAGAGGCTACTTCCTGGTCTGGGGCTGCCACAAAGCACCTCTTCTGGCTCTCCTCCCCTGGGGCACGGGGTCCTCCCCTCTAACAGCCACAGTGGGGCGGGGGTGGGCGCTGCCTGCCCTTTCTATCCCACACCAGCGGGGCTTCCAAGGTAGGCACGGCACACCTTCCAGCAGGGGCCACAGGGGCATTGCTGAGGGCTCCTCCTGCCTCTGGTTGGACCCCCAGCACGGGCAAGTGTGAATGGGGTGCCGAGAACCCTCTCACATGGATGGAATGACTTAAGCAGCCCAAGGAAGCCTCTTTCTTCCCCCACCCACACAGCCCCATTTTCCTGCTGGTGATTCAGGCCCCTGGACTAAGTACTAACCATTCTGGGAGTTCCTCTTTCTGAAAATGCAAACTCTTTTTAAAAATGCACATGCTGCCCCCTACTTTAAAAACCTTCCTGGCTCCCCATGGCCTGCAGGACAAAGTCCAAGTCCTTGGGGCGACAGCTAAAGGCTTCTGTTACCCTTCCACTGACAGGCAGTGCAACCTCAGGCACATGCCTCGCCCTCTCTGAATCCATGCATTCCCTTCTCCCCTGGGCAGAAAGGGATCCCAGTGCAGACAGATGCCAGCACAGAGCCCACCCTCAGCTGACAAGTCTTTCTGGCTGGGAAGGCTCTCCAGCACCTTCTTACACTGCCACATCCTCCTTTCTCAACACCCCCCAAACGTGCTGCTCCCCAGAAACACATCACTGGAATAGTCCATGCTTTGCTTACTCCAGTTCTGATGGGTGAAATCCAACTCATCTCTCTAGGTCAGTTAAAAGTCACCTCCTCTTTGAAACCCTCCCTGACAGGCCCCATGCATTCCTCCTGGAGGAATGGCTACTCCCTTATGGGAACCCCAGACCCCTTCCCCCAGTGCGGCCCTGGTTACACTGTGTTACCGTTAACCTGCTGACTCCTTGCTGCCCAGCTCAACAAACAGTCTCTGGGGCCAGGGTCTCACAGCATCCATCGCCACACCTCCGGGTGCCAGCTGCAATGCCTGGCTCAAGCGCCTCAGCCCCACCCCATGGCCTCCTCAGCACAGCTCCCCTCCCAGTCACAAGGGCTGAGACAGTGGCTCCTTCCCCCTCTGAGCTCACACCCTTCCCTTCTGGGGAAATGTCCCTCCCTTCCTGACTGCCAGGCTGGGCTCCCACCCCAGTGCCTTCCCTGACAGCTCAGGGAGAACCCTCTCCCCCTCCTCTAGCTAGATGAACTGTTCCGGGACCTCAGTTTCTTCTCTTGTAAAATGGGGCTAACAACACCCCTCTCAAGGCTGTGGTCAGAACGGGCTGGGATGACGTCACTACAGGACCCTGCACAGGCCCTGCACACCCCAAGGATCTGCTGATGGCTGCCGTTGCATTAGCAGACACCTGAAGGGCTTTGTGGGGACCTCCTGTGATGTGACCTGTGACTGGGTGCTGGGGTCTGGAAGGTGCTGCTGGTGCCCAGCTGGTCAGAAAGGGCTGGAGTCAGCAAACAGAAGCCCTGCCGGAAGAGCCTGCCCCCACCATGAGTGCTCCGGTGCTGCTGGTAAAAGCACCCCAGGCTGGGTCTCGGCCCCTCGTCCTAAGGCACCCTGTGGGCTTGGCTCTGGGAGCAGATTTTAGGGAGCAGAGTCCCTTGGCAGCCGGGCTCCCAGCAGATGGGGCTCCAAGAGCTCCCAGGGGGGTGAGGGGTGGGAAGAAGGTGCTGGCTCAGCCCTCTGGAGTGTCCACAGGGAACTGGACAATGAGCTTGGGAACCCCAGCTCTTGGTCCAGCCATAGGGATCCATCTGACATTAGCTGAGCACCTTCTGTGTCCCAAGTCCTAGACTAACTGCCTTCAGTCCTCACAGCAGTAACACAGGGTCGCAGTGTCGCTCTCATTCCACAGAGTGTGCAAGGGGTGGTTAAGACCCTGCACTCTAAAACAGGCTGCGTCTGAGTCTTGGCTCTGCCACTTACTGGCTGTGTGACCTTGGACAAGGTACTTAACCTCTCTGTGCTTCAGTCTCCTCACTTCTAAACCAGGGATAAGAAGAGTACCTACCTCCGAATTATCAGGAGGGTTAAATCAGTCAGCACTTCAAACAGCACCTGTCATCTGGTAACTGCTCAGCAAATGCTGCCACTGCCATTACTATTACTACTGAAGAATGAGATTGACATGCAGAGACTGCCTGACACCATCCTAGGATCAAGAGGACAGACAGGCAGGAGGTGCAGGTCATTCCTGCTGCCATCCAAAGCCCACACTTAACAAAGGTCAGAGTTAAAAGGAGTCTCAGAACAGTCCCACTGTCCCCTTTTAAAATGGGAGAGGAACCTGAGGTTCAGAAAGAACACAGAGGCCCCAGCTCTTCCCATGATATCCCTGCAGCGTCACTGCCAGGTGCTGGACACACAGCCTGAGCCCCCAGGCCAGCCTGCCCCCTTCTACCTCACTACATCCCCCACTCAAACTCCTCACTGACAACAGCATTAGCAGCCTGTCACCCCAGGGAGCCCGGGCTGAGATCCTCTCTTTCACGCTCTTGGAGATGCCTAACCTCCCAGAAGCCAGCAAAATCTGCAGGAGCTCCCTCACTGGAGATAAATCTGCAGGGAGGCATCAGCCATGTGCCTACTTCAGTCACCTGTGACTGGCTCTCCTGCCTCCAGCGGTGGAGTCCCTGTTGCTCTGCAGCAGCTGTGGTGACAGAGAGGAGACTCTCAGACAGATCCAGAGAGCCACCTTCCCCGGGCCTCCATTTCACTCCTGCCTCCTGGGGCTGGTGATGGGGACCAGATCCAGCCACATCCTAGGGCTGCCTAGTGCTGGACCAAGAGCAGTGTCCCCAGGACAGAAAGTCCCAACCCCTCTAGGCCCCAGTAAATCAAAATAGAGGGCCGGGAGGATGAGTCCATTGCACACGTGTGAGACATAAGGGCCCCCACAGTTGCTATATGTAAAACTAGCACTGGACGCCACACTTCCTGGTGGCCAAAGTAAATGCGGAAACTGGCAAGTCTGTAAGGGCTCTTTTTCGCTCTGCAGGGTTTTTTGACCCTTGGTGTCCTGAAGGGAGAGCCCAGGACTCCCATTTCCATGATGAATGGGATTTCTATGTGAAAGGGCTTTGAAATTGGAAGGTGGTCCAAAATAGTTGAGAGGAACTGATGCCTGCTGCCTGCTATCCTCTTGTGGTCATCTGATTCTGAATGTGCCTTGTTGGGCAGGAGCTTATCTGGTCTGGGGGACTTAGCACAGTGAGGCTGGGTCCCCCGGTGGCCCCCGCAGGACACTGGTGACCCGCCCCCCAGCAGAGGCGTTGTGTTCAGAGGCTCCACCCCAGCTAGGGCAGGCTCACCAGCAGGTCGCTGTCTGGCCGCGCTGGGCTGCCAGACAGGTCCTGCTCTCTTTAGCACAGGCTTTGGCGGTGGTGAGATTCCAGCTGTTCACTCTGCGGCTGCAGGACTATGGGAGCGAGTTAACCTCTCTGCACTGGCGAAACTGTAGGCTCCAGGATCCTGGGTGGTGACAGGGACAGAATGATCTCAGCCACCTATAAGTCGGGTGCTTCGGTTCTCCTAACATTTACGAATTGCCTACAAGGTCTTGGCGCATGTCTATGCCCTTTACAAACATGAACTCACCTAGTCCTCGTAACAGCTCTGTGAGGTAGGTACTACCCTTCCTCTTATTTGACAGATGAGCTGAAGTGACTTGCCCACAGCCACACAGCCTAGGCCCAGAACCCAGGTCTTAACCTCTGCATGCTGCTTCTGAGAAGCAGGATTCACTTTAGCGCCTGTTTCTGAACTCAAAAGCTGGCTCTAAACCTCTTCTTACAGACTGAGGAGTTCTCTGGGTCTTCATCTGGCTTCAGACTCACAATCATGTGGGACAGCAAGGGACCTGTTCTGCAGATGAGGAAAACTGAGCCCAGAGGAACTCCACGGAGCAGGCTGCGGAGTCAGGAGAGAGCACGGCGCTAGAAACACTATGTGTCATCCAACTCCAGCCTCATCAGGCTGCAGGGTATTACCCCAGCTTTACAGATGAAGAAACCAAGGCTCAGAGAGGCAAAATGGTTTGCCTGAAGATCCCTCCACGAGGACATCGCAGAGCTGGGATTTCAAGCAGCCTCCTTGAATTACTTGCAAGGAAAAAAAAAAAAACCCTCTCCACCTGTCAGTCTGACTCCTTAGTCTCACAAACACAGACACAGAAGGACCCACAGGTCCCACCCTGGGCTCCCGGGGCTGCAGTAGCTTCCCCTTCTTCCCAGTGGCCGAGTGGCTGGCCTCTGAAAGCACAGGAGGGGGAAGGTGACAACGGAGACGATGGAGAGAAAGCACATGTGGGCTGGGGGCCGCGTGCGCCACCAGCCTGTACCCGGGTGTGTGCAACCCAAGTTAGGGGCCTGAAAGCTGTCGCTTTTCACACGTCAGCTGTGCAGGAGCAGAAGGCAGAGCGGAGCCTGCCCAGGGCTGGGGCCAGATTTCAGCGTGAGATAGGTCCTCACACGCCCAGGCCTAGGGATGAAAACAGTGTGCCTGGTGCAGCCGGGGGCAGGAGTGGGAGGCCACTGACATTTGTCCCCTCCTACCCACCGCCCAGGGTCTTAGGCTAACAAACGCCTTTCCCACTCTCCTCCAGGATGGCCTGGAAGGACCAGGGGAGGCACCTCCTCCACCCCTCGCCATGTGCCAGCCACATAACCATCCTCACTCAACTCCAGGGGTGGGTCTAGCTGTTTGCATGTCGTGGATGGGGAAACTGAGGCTCCAAGAGTTTAAAGACCTAGTGAGTGAGTGGCCGAGTCAGGCTCTGAAGCCAGGTCGACCTGCTGTGTTCTCTCTGTGCCCTCGTCGTGCCTCTTGGCCAGAGACCCCTCCCTATAAAACAGCAGTCAGGGAGCTGGGCACAGAGTTCAGGGAGGAGGATGGAAAGAGAAGTCCCAACGACTTGGGGGCAATGCCATCCTGGGCTGGACCCAGAAATAGTTCTAA